ATCACTGGCCGAGGGTACGATACCCCAATACTATCATGATGCAACCAGATGCTAGCTCCCGGTGGGGGGCTCATCAGTATATGAACGACACCCCAATATTTTATTATATTTTAATTCTTAGTTTAAAATCGTATATTAGTAAATTTAATTGGACCGATTTATGCATAATATTTTATTACACACAAAATATAAAATCAATAAATTAGTGATATGCTCAAAGATTTAATTTATATTGTTTATTTTTAATGCTGATAACTATAAATTGTGATATGCTCATTATTTAAATTATAATTTTAAAATTACATACACAAACATATAACATATATAAAGTTATTTGCAATTGTGGACGTGCACAGGATCACATACTAGTAAAATTATTAGGGTAACTTGTTTATCAAATAGTTTGCTCACATTTAATTCATACTTAGAATCTAACTGAAGTTTAATTCAACACCACTATTCTTAATATTTTCATATAATTAAATAATAATCATTCTTACACATCACACCAACTTTAATTCACTATTCATCCACTCACATAATTTTAACTACCTATCATTTCCAATCTGGTAACGTCAAACACTCTGACCGGCTGGAAATCAGCTCGCCTTCTTCCTCTTCGCCGATAGAATGTGGCGTACCTGAAAAGAACTCTCTTACCGGAGAAATTTTCGGTGAAGAGTCTCCGAGGCAGTCAGTGTATGTTCGACTCAATTTCTCAGAGTAAGAATGGGTAAATAGTGATCAAAATGTAAAGCTCATCCTATATATAGGGTGAGGTACATGCTTCTAGAGCTTGCCCGAGTTTGCTGAGCTGGTTTCCCAGAGCTGCCCAAACTTGCCCGTTCATACACACGTAGTGTGCATGTGCCAGAAACGGTTATCACCATAGACCAATCTAGTCGCGCCACGTGTCCTCCGCACATGGGTGAAGATTTCTATGTTAACTCTCGAAGGCTCTTGCACTCAATCGTGCCTAGGTCGATCTTCGGACTACTCTCAGTCTGTGAAGTGGTCGATCAAATGACCCTTGGCTCGATACATCGCTCTTCGACCAAGTCCTCCATGGACCTGGCACCGATCATTTCTCCTCATACTGGGATCCCCCGTACCCTGTTCTTGTGGTGTTCGACCACGACCACTCTCCTTGATTATGTTCGGTGAAGACGACCCACTCAGTTCGCTGGATTCGGTCGACCGAACTAATGGACCAGTTTATTCCTTTAGGTACAATATCCCATATCATAATCATTTATCTCCTACTTTTATATCAAATCAATATTAATCAGTTTATTCTAAATATTATTTTAACACATTCTTAAGATCTAACTAACAACTAACCATATCACCTTTTTCAAAATTGACTCGGGTTAATCAAAATAACTCATTATGAATGGATTATTTGGTAAACAAGCATGCCCTAATTTTTTTTTTTTTTTTTTAACGAAACGCGAGGAATCTCATATAATCACAAAAAAATGAAACCAGAAACCAGCTACTCAGCCGAATATACAGCCAATAGCCGAATAAGCTGAATAGCTGACACTAGTATAGAGGACTACGTGTACATCCATACTGCAACCTAGAGTCAACCTACAACACCAAACACACAAATCTTCCAAAAGAAGAATAAACAAAAGCTCCTAACAGGAGTTTACCTGCTCCAAACATGAGAATCAACAATCACAACTAATAAACAAAAGCAAAACACAACACAACAACAAAAAACACAAATCACACACAAAACATAAAGCTACAATTAGCACTGTCAAACGGGCCAGTGGCCCGCGGGCTGGCCCGCCCGCCCGCTTAAACGGACAGGCTTGGGCCTTTGCTTGGCCAGTCCGTTCAATCGCGGGCGTATTTGGCCCGCCCCGTTTGGCCCGCGGGCTGGCTCGTTTTT